GGGCTCTTTCCCCTGGTGGCTCCCCCTGCAGGGCCAGCTGCACCCTGGGGGGAAGCTATAAGGCAAACTCACCACCTCTTTATGAAGGGCTGTGGGAATCACCCATATGTCAACCTTAATTCAGAGGCTCAGGGTTCAGACCCCAGCACTTCACCTTACTAAATTAAAAACTTATTAAAAATGTTAAAAACAAAATAGAAAATTATAATATTATTTTTAAACTAGATTATTAAAAGTATTGCTCTAGTCTTTGGTACCACCACAGCATAACTGTGCTACACAGAGCACAAGGTAGTTTCCTGCTGTGCTTCTGAACTAGTGCTGAGCACAAACCAAATGTGATGTGAATTTGGTTCTCCACACCCAAGTAATGCAGCTACTGGGCTGCAAACCCAAAGCAATGAAAAAAATAAATTAATCCCACATACATGCAATATGAAGGAAACAATACGATGGTGTCAAGCAGCAGAGAGCAAGACAGCTTGGTGGGGCAAACAATAATTTATGAAATAAAATATTTTGTTAAAAACCACAATGAAATCACCAGGAGTTTTGTTAAGACAGGCCCAGGATTCCTTCCTGATGCTGCCATTTTTGGCTCAGAAATATTAATAACCGGCTTTCTTTTATATGAGAACTGGAACATCCACCACTGCCCAAACGCAAATGGAACCACACGGTTACTGCTTTTCACTTCAGTTTTGAAGAGGGTACAGAACATCCTGGAAATTATCGCTGGTTAAAATTCCACAGCCTTACAGTCAACACAGACTGGAAGGAAAATCTGGCCCAACTGAGTTGGACAGTACCTTGTTTTTAACACAATCACTCACAGGCTCTACGGGATGTGAATCACAGAGACAACAGGCTTTGGGAGATCCACGGTTATTCATGAAGCTTTACATGCCTCAGTTCTGCATGTCAAACATCACCACGGCCTGATTTCTCCTAAGTAAGGAACTGCATTTACACACTTTTTTATTAAAATATGTGAACAGACCTCAGGCTGCTGCTACTGCTACAGAGCAATGTACAAATCTGCCTTTTTTTTAGAGAAAGATAAAGGTACTATTCATCCTACTGCTGCTGCTTTTATCTTCTGCAGGATCCCGTTTTTAAAAAGCCTGGGCTCTAATGGTTCCCGCAGTGAATTTTTAAAAACATTCTCTCCTAGCCCAGGAGCAGGACTAGGCAGCCTTGAGTTTTCAGCCCTGCTCACCTCCATTCTCTGAGCATACACACCCACCAATTCCTTCTTAAATCTGAAGGGAGAAAAATCATCTGTTCAGCAGATGAGGATGGAAAGAACTTCTCCAGTAGCCACAGCACAAAACTAGGTACAAGAGTACTCAGCCATGTTGACCACAGGCTTGTAAAATACAACAGGAGCAGTGAAAACGAAAAATTCCCTTCAGAAATGAGCTGGAAGCTTGTGACTGTGGATAAAGCCGCCAAACAAATGTAACATTTAACTTTATGTTGTTCTAAAATTTAATCTTCTTGCATATTTTCGGCAATTCCCTGCAGAAAACTACAGTGGTAAATACAAAGCAAGGTGTTATCTTACCTGCCGCTCACTGACACGCAGAGGCCCGAACACCATGCACTGGATGAGCTTAGCAACCAGCATCAGAAAACAGCAGGCAGTGTTCACTAGCACCTGGAAAGAAACAAAGCAGTCAGCAACAAATACTTTTGCCCTATTTAGATGGAAAGAGAGGGAGAGAGAGGGGGAATAGGTGTCTAACAAAACCTGCTATTGTTCACAGAACACTATTAGTTGCCTTCGGGTCTTTGGTGAAATTTAAGCCTGGCCTCTTCCAAGGCAGGTACAGTAGCTCTAAGTCACTTGACTTTATTTTCTGGAATTACTAACAGGGCCTGTTTGATACACCAGTAGATGCAAAAATCTAACCTACTTCTTAATAACAAATTGTTTATCTATATAGATTACCAAATTTTAGCACCAAGGAACATGGGGAAGAAGCTTCCAGCTTACCAAGACGCTGATTTTGTTCAGCATACAGCAGATGAGAAAACTCCAGTTTGAATCTCTTGTTACTGAACAGCACACAGTCCTTCTTTAACAACTCTGCTTAAATCCTTTGGGAGAAACTGCTTTAAAGCAAAGCAAAAAGGAGCAGAGTACACGGACCTGGGAAAACTGCTTCTCCCGTTTGACCAAGACATTTGTAATTAACTTTTGACCTACACAGAGCACTAAAAGAGGAGGGGGGGATGATGAAGCAGCCGTTTCTAAAGAACATACAACAAACTTTTCCAGGGCTCTTAATTTAAGGTTCTAAGACTGAGTTTAAACAGGCTGAATGTGTTAGGTATATTCAAAAATCAGCTTCGCAGTCGGGCAAGCCCATTGTAAAGCAGGTGTCCAACTAACACCACCTTTTTCCGACAGAACTATGAAAAGTAACAGAAATTAGTGAGCCAAGATGCATATACCATTGCGAGGTTTGGGGTTAGGAAGCTACAGAAAATTCCTTTTTTTTATTTTTCCCCTCAAATAGTGAGAATGCTTCCTTTTACCTGCATGACTTTAAATGTTATTAAAAAAAAAAGAAAAAAAATAAACAAACAAAAAAGAAGCGGGTAAAGATTGGGCCTGAACACCTGATGTTGTGTCACAAAGCTCTGCTCCGAGCTGGCGTCCTGCTCCGAGCAGC